AGAGACAGTGTCACATTTTGTTGCCCAGGCTGGTTTTGAAATCCTGGCCTCAAGCAATCCTCCTGGCTCAGCCTCCTAAAGATCAAGAGTCTGTTTTCTATAAAAACATATTTGAAGCCGGGCTGGGTGGCTCAGCCTGTAATCCTGCGCTTTGGGAGGCCGAGGTGAGTGAATTGCCTGAGCCCACGGGTTCGAGACCTGCCTGGCCAACTTGGCAAGATCTCATCTCTACAATAAATAAAAAAAGTTAGCCGGGCGTGGTAGCGCACACCTGTAGTTCCAGCTACTTGGAAGGCTGAAGCGGAAGGATCGCCAGAGCCCAGCAGGTCGAGGCTGCAGTGGCCGGGAGCATGCCACTGCACTCCAATCTGGGTGACAGAGTGAGACTCTAACTCAAAAAAAAAAAAATTTGAGAATATATTTATTATCATTTTAATATATATGTTAAGTAAAATATGGTGCAAGTGGTAGCAGAAACAGCAGTCATCTTATATCTGACATGAAGCACAGAATCTTGCTCATAGCTATATTACATGGGTATTGGCAGCAGTTTTGTGGGAAGAGTGAATATTCTCTTTGACCACAAGTCGAAGTTCATGTGGTAGATGAGAATGATAGGAGACGCAGCTAAGCACGCCAGGCTTGGTTGCTTGGTCTTTTTTTTTTTTTATTATAAAGATATGCGGTACAATTCAGGGTTAGGTATACAAACAGTTGCTTGGTCTTAAGTAAATATCTCTATGCTATGTTTAATGATAGGAAAGCAATAGCTAATATAGACACTTCTCAACACTTCCCAGGCACACTTCTCGGTTACTATCATAATTAAATCATTTGATCAGAAAAGCCAGGTGCTGATATTTTGCCACTGAGCCACAGAGAGATTGTGATGTGCAACTAAAAGTGGCAGAAGAGGGATGTGCAATGATGCTTGTTGATTGCATCACTATGTTCTCACCCATCACCTTGTGCCATCAAGTCTTATGGGAGATGAGGGCACTGAAGGCTGGCATGGAGGCAGCACTGGGAACACTGAGTTGGTAGCCAGATTCCTTTGCATAGCTGAGACCACCCTAGGGCCCAGGTTCCTTTTCTCAAGCCAAGAGCAAAATCGATGCATCTCCAAAGGGCCTGATAGCTTTGAGCTGACATGGGCAGTGTTTAGCATCCCCTAACACCATGATCTGCCAGCTGAGGCCAGGGCATCAGGTTCCATGTAGTGAAAGGTCATTCATCAATGTGTGACCTTGGGCAGCTAACTTAACTATTCTGGCAGACAACACAAACACTCCAGTGCCTACATATTTGCTGTCCCAGTCATGAGGCCTATGGCTGTAATTCACAAGATCAGAAACATGAATGGTGGGGAAGACCTTATGTCTCTTCCACTACTGGGCAGTGTCTCATGGAGGAGGACATTCTGCATCCTCCACAGTCCTCCTGGTACTGGGTCAGCCAGGTTGCAGTCCCATTCCCAGTACATATTGCCAGGCAATGCTTCCAGATCTCGAATTCTTCTTTCTCCAGGAGCTCGTTGGGATGTCCATGCACTGAGGAAACCTGATGACTCTTGTTCCTCTCAGGCAGCAGGAAGTCTAACCACTCCTCAGGCTAGGTTAGGCGGGTGCCATCCAGACTGTATTCCACAGGGCTTTATGTCAGGAATCCAGTAGATTCCATGCCCCTGCCCACAAACCAGCCCAGACAGCTCAAATGAGTTGGGTGTGGTGGTGTGTACTTATAGTCCCAGCTACTTGGGAGGCTGAGAAGGAAGGACTGAATGAACCTAGAAGGTCAAGGTGGCTGTGAGCCATGATTGTGCCACTGCACTCCAGTCTGGGCAACAGAGTGAGACCTAGACTTAAAGAAAAAGAAAGTTTATATAGACAGAGTCATCATGATGGTGTTTGTTTATTAAGACCCAGCCAGGAGCCAGGCCATGGTGTAATTTAATCCATACATAGACATACTGTCTTCTTTGTACAAATGAAGTGATGGAGACCCAGGGAACTGAGCAACTTGCCTGGGCCACACAGCCAGTAAGTTGGGAAGTGGGTACTGGACTAGTACTGCCCGACACCAAAACCCATGCACCTGACACAGGCAGCCTTCTCACGTCTCCTCTTCATAGGAAGCAGTGTGGGGAGGCACTTCTAGTTCTACCCCCATGGACTTCTAGGTCACGAGGCTCCTCTTTCTCTTTGAAATATCAGACTACGTTCCCTCAACAAATAGCCAGCAGGACTAACAGGTGGCATTGATGAGACACCCAGGGCCTAATTTTTTTTTTTTTTTTGAGTTGGAGTCTCAATTTGTCGCTCAGGCCACTGCAGTCACGACCTGCTGAGCTCAGGTGATCCTTCTGCCTCAGCCTTCCAAGTAGCTGGAACTACAGGCACGTGCTACCACACCTGGCTAATTTTTGATTTATTGTAGAGATGAGGTCTCGCCAAGTTGCCCAGGCGGGTCTCGAACCCGTGGGCTCAGGCAATCCACTCACCTCAGCCTCCCAAAGGCGCGGGATTACAGGCTGAGCCACCGAGCCCGCCCATGAAACTGCAGAAGCCACCGTCACCCCTGCACTGACAGACTCACAATACTTCACCTGGATCCCATAATTTCATACATTTCATCTGGCTGGTAAAATACCATAATCACATCGAAGCATAAAATTCCATGAGAAACTGAAGATGGGCAGGAAAATCAGAGCATGATAACGAGGGGTGGAGAAGTATCTGTGCCATATTTGATTCGACAATGTGGCCATCCTGTGTGTCTGTCCCTTCCCTCATATGATGTGCCATGATGCGATACCAGTGTACACCAGAGGAAACTCAGGGAGGCAGCCTGGCCTGCCTAGGGCACTAGGTTGTCAGGGACTCACATTCCAATCAGAGCCTCAGACTCTCACACCCAGTTCAATCCCTACCCCTGTCTTAAAAGCCCCAAGTCCCATATTTGCAAGGCAAAAAGGAAAAAAGTCAGAATAAATTCAATAACTTTTATTATCATTCATGTGTTTCATTTTTTTAAAATGTAGCAAAGGGTCAGGAATGTATGAGAAAAAAAATCCACATTGCTCTACCTCCACCTGGGTTCAGGGTTCTCAACATCAGGTGGAGCAACTGCACTCGTCTGATACCCCTTTGCAGACACAGCCTTGGGCACGCTTGGCATAGCCCACGGGGCAGCTGGAGCAGCAGCCTGAGAAGGAAGGGGAGAGCGGGAGGTCAGAGTAGACATGACCAGGTGCCTCCCTACTCTCAGAGGCCTGGCACAAGCCCTGGAGGACCGACAGTTCCAGAGGGCGTGCCTCTGTTCTGAGACAATAGGTGGAACTTTGGAGGCTTAGGTCCCAATAGCAAGAGACTGCCCTGCCCTAGCTGAGCTCAGGACAGAAAGGCTGGAGAGGGAATGGCGTGGTCAACAGGGGCAGAGGAAGGCCGGTTCCCAGAAGCACACTCTCAGAACCAGGTCGGGGTCCTTCCCAACCTCAGTCCCGGGTTCCCAGGGATGGCCTCAACTCACTCTTCTTGCAGGACATGCATCTCCACTCTTTGCACTTGCAGGAACCAGCACAGGTACAGGAACCACTGGTCCACACTATCATGCCCGACTAATTTTTTGATTTATTGTAGAGCCAAAGTCTCATCATGCTGCCCAGGCTGGTCTTGAACCCACAGGCTCAGGCAGTCCTCTCAACATGGCCTCCCAAATTGCTGGGATTACAGGCTTGAGCCACTGTGTCCGACGTATTTATGTATTTATTCTTGTATTTATGTATTTATTTTTGAGTTGGAGTCTAACTCTGTCACCAAAGTTGGAGTACAGTGACATGCTGATGGCCACTGCAGCCACGACCTGCTGGGTTCAGGCGATCCTTCCAGCTAAGTCTTCCAAGTAGCTGGAACCACAGGCGTGTGCCACCACACCCGGCTACTATTTATTTATTGTAGAAAGGAGGTCTTCCACATTGCCCAGGCTGATCTCTAATCCCTAGGTTTAGACAGTCCTCTCATTTCTGCCTGCCAAAGTGCTGGTGTTACAGATGCGAGCCACCGCGCCCATTCATGTAGTCACTTTCAAGTGGAGAGTACAGTGAAGGAAGTCAAGTTGGACCGGAAAATCAAAAAATGAAAATGAGAGATGGTGATGCTTTTTTGCCATATTTCACATGAGTCTGAGGCAATCTTGTGTGTCTCCCACCTCTTCCATGTGATCTGAACTTACATGAATGGATGCTCAGAGAGATAACCTGGTTGCTGAGGGCACTCAGGTTGCTCCATTCTGGAATTCTAGTGCCCAGTGGTCATTGTATCCTGTCCCCCAGCCCTGCTGCATGGTGCCACAACTATCCCGGAGGGAGCCCATGTGCAACCCCCGCCCAGCACTCACCTCCCTAGATTCCAAGATCAGGTGGAGCCAGGGAGCACAGGAGGGAGTTGTGTGCAGAGGACAGAACTCGGATGGCACCTTTGCTCTGCACCAACCTCCTGCCCCACACGTCTCGTCCATGTTCCTACCATGGTCCTGTCCATCTGGGGCCCAAGTCTCTCACTCCCAGTTCAATCCCCCACCACAGTCCCATCTTTCCAAGGCACACAAAGGAAAGCAGAATCAGAATCAGGTAAAAAATATTTTTATTGTAATTCACGTATTTTTTTTTTTGAGTCGGAGTCTCACTCTGTGCTGAGGCTGGGGTGCAATGGCACGCTCACAGCCACCTCAGCCTTGGCCTGCCGGGCTCAGATTATTCTTCTGCCTCAGTCTTCCAAGTAGCTGGAACTACAAGTGTGAGCCACCACACCTGGCTAATTTTTTGATTTGCTGTAGAGATGATTTCTTGCCAAGTTGCCCAGTCTGGTTTCAAAACCCTGGGCTCAGGCAGTCCTCTCATCTCCCCTTCCCAAAGTGCTGGAATTAGAGGCGAGAGCCACTGCACCCTGAATAATCCACATATTTTATAGAAACTAAATGCAGCAAAAGGGTCGGTGTTGTATAAAAATAAAATCTAGGTTTATACATGTTGCTCCACCTCCACCTGGGATCAGGTCTCCCGACATCAGGCACAGCAGCTGCACTTGTCTGAGGCCTCTTTGCAGACACAGCCCTGGGCACACTTGGCACAGCCCACAGGGCAGCAGGAGCAGCAGCCTGTGAAGAAAGGGGAGAGTGGGTGGTCAGAGAAGCCTCGACCAGGGGCCTCCCTGCTCAGCAGAGTCCTGGCACAAACCCCAGATGACTGACAGTTCGGGAGGGCATGGCTCTGTTCTGAGACAATAGGTGGGACCTTGGAGGCTTGTATCCCAAGAGCAAGAGGCTGTCCTGCCCGAGCTGAGCTCAAGACAGAAAGCCTGGAAGGGAATGGCGTGTCCAACAGGGGAAAAGGAAGGCCAGTCCCAGAAGCACAGGCTCAGAACCAGCTCGGGGTCCCTCCCAACCTCAGCCCCAGGTTCCCAGGGATGGCCCCCACTCACTCTTCTTGCAGGATGTGCATCTGCACACTTTGCACTTGCAGGAGCCAGCGCAGGCACAGGAGCAACCTCCAAAGAAGAGAGGACCAGAGGTGAGCACTCAGGGAGAGGCAGACAGGGCAGCAGTCAGTCAACAAATGCTGCCAACTGAGTGCCAGGACAGACCTTGGAGCACAGTGAGGTCTACTCCACCTCCTGCTTCAGTCTAGGATGGTTTCTCATCCTGAGTCCTGAAAAGGCCATATCCCCTGTCTCCCATGCAGCCCAGGCAACTCAAACGCTGGACAGAGCATTGGAACTCTACCTAGCTGCACTGGACTACCTAGGTGACGTGGAGCAGGACAGTCATATGCCTGAGGCCTCTTGCCTATGATATGGTAGACGAAGGGAGAATGGAAAAGTTCTAGGGTGATGGAAGCACTTTGCAACAGAAAAAACTAGAACCACGAACTAGAACCACAGGCTTCACTTTAGCCAGAACGCAAAATGACACCTCCACTCCTAAGGACTTCTGTCCAGTGGCTGGAAGATGAAGATCCCACGGCCCAGAAACTGGGCACACCTTACCAGCGGTGCAGTAGCAGTTGGGGTCCATGTCAAGCCCAAGAAAGGTTAGAGATCTAGGCGAGAGGGAAGAGGCAGAAGGTAGGCAAGAGGGTGGTGGAGCTCAGGAGGCGGCCGCTCTCTTTATAGTCAGGGAAGAGCTGGGCACAGAGGACCCACCCCAGACTTTGCACTCACACCGCAAAGTAGCCAACACCAAGGTCTCTGGCTAGGCTGGGAGCAGCCAGGGTGCCAGGCGCAGGATCTCTGAGCACAGTTTGGTACACACCACTAGGGCGACCTCTGGCTGTGCCTGGGAGGGTGGCACTGTGTGTCCGCAGCACCTGGTGATGCTGAGTCCTGCTGGCCCTTTCCAATTCCCCAAGATTGCCACCGCCCACACCCTGGGCGTTCCGGGTATCCCGGGAACCTGTCTTGTGCCCCCTCCCACGGTGTCCTCACCTTTGCCTTTCTCGGGTGCCGTGTGCAACCCCAACTCGTGTTCAGTGCCCTGGTCTGCAGGAGCTGGGGAGCAGAGGAGGGAGCTGTGTGCAAAGAAATCAGGGGGGATGTGACCTTCGGAGTCCCACATTGTCTGTCCCTGTACTCACTGAAATCCGTCACACAAGTTTCCACTTGACACAGCAACGTGCCAGACACAGAGCTCTGTCTCACTCCCCTCCACTCTCATTCCTGAGTGAATGTATGGGCATGCCTGTCCTGGTCCTACTTTCCTAAAATCCTCCGAGATCTCTCCCAGCAGGAGAGTACTGTCCAGCCACTCATGGACAGTACTGCTACAATGTGGGGTGCCTCAGAAGAGGGGCTCCTTAGGTGGCATGCAGACCCTGCCTTAAAAAAGACAGCAAACAGGGTGCAGTAACCAAAACCTGTAGTCACAGGTACTATGGAGGCTGAGGCAGGAGGATCACTTGAGCCCCGAAGCTGAGGTCCAGCATGGGTAATAGAATGAAACGTCTGGAGAGATAATTAAAATTGAAAAGCAAAGCTGACTATCGCAAAACATTCAGTATGTGCCAGTCCATTTTTAATCACATTTGTTCTGTGAACTTACAGACAATCCTAGAGAGAAATACAATTAACAAATCCATTTTACTCATGGAGAACTACAACAGAAAGTTCAAATACCATGTTCCTCGTCACAGGGCTAAATAGTTGTCACTGATATAAATTCAGTCAGCCTCTCAAGGGAAAGAGCATCGATGATAAAGTATTATTGGGGTCCAAGTACGTCTTCAACCATTCCCTATTGCTGAATGTCTTTTAAACAGCCGGTTACCAGCTCTGCCATGGCCAGTGACAAAAGCAATCCATGAGTATAACATATATACACACACATATAATTTTCTGGCTATCTTATATGGATGGAATAAGGATGCTTTTCATTATTGATGGTGGTACAGAATTTGCTTATCATGAAAACACTTAAAGGAAAATATTATTCACTTCTATGTAAAATATTGAGTAAAATATGGTGCAGGTGATAGCAGAAATGGCTGCTAATCCTCTGCATCTGACATGAGGCAAAGAATCTTCCTCATAGCTTCATACCTGAGAGCTGCTGGCAGTTTTTTTTTTTTTTTTTTTAGTTGGAATCTCACTCTGTCGCTCAGACTGGAGTGCAGTGGCCGCTCCCGGCCACTGCAGCCTCGACTTGCTGGGCTCCGAGGATCCTTCCGCCTCAGCCTTCCTAGTAGCTGGAACTACAGGCGCACGCTACCATGCCCGGCTAGTTTTTGATTTGTTGTAGAGATGAGGTCTTGCCAAGTTGCCCAGGCGGGTCTCGAACCCTTGGGCTCAGGCAATCCACTCACCTCGGCCTCCCAAAGTGCTGGGATTACAGGCTGAGCCACCGAGCCCGGCCTGCTGGCAGTTTTGTGGGAAGAGTGACTGGCTGTCTGTGGACCACAGGTCCCACATTCTTGTGGTAGAGAGGAATGGACACCCAGCGAAGCACACCAGACCTGGCTGCTCTGTCTGTGTGTAAGTAAACATCCCCTAGGCTTTGTATAATGAATTTTAAACAAGTAGTAGCTTATATCATAGACTACTCACTCTTGCCAGGTATCTAAGTTCCTTCCGTGTATTAACTCATTTAATCCCACAAGCCAGTGGCCATTATTATGCTCCTTGTAAGTTGAGGAGACGGAGCCACAAGAGGTTGTGTTATGCAGCTATAAGTGAGAGTGGTGGGATTTGCACTCATGCATGCTGAGTGCAACATCATGTCCTCACCCACCATTCTGTGTCCCCAAGTCACATGGATGGTTAGGACACTGAAAATCTGGCAATGGGAAAGCAACTGAGTTGGCATATAGCTCGGTGACTTTTCTGGGTGTCAGTTACCGTCTCTCAAGCCAAGAAAGAGGTCCACATCATAGGGCCTTTGTACCTTTGAAGTGAGATATGCAAAGTTTAGCATCCAGGTATGGGCAGGACGACAGGCCAGACAGTATAGGTGCATTTATCCCTTTATGTCTGTGTTGTGTGACATTGAGCAGGTTGTTTAATAGCTCTTGAAGACAATAAGGCACTTCAGCCCATGCATATGTGACATCTCAATCATGAGGCATGTGGCTGTCATTCATGATACTGTGTGTAGATCAAATGACATGAAGCATAAGAGAGGTTTTCACATGTGTTCCAATGCTGTGCAGTGTGCCACTGAAGAGGACTTTACTGGCACTGGACCAGCCTGGCAGAAATCTTATTCCCAGCTTCCAGTCTAGAACAATGCTTACAAAACTATGGGCCTTTCTTCAGGAACTAGTTGGGACTTACCAAGATTCTCTCTGTAAGAAGTTTATATAGCTGGGTATGGAGGCTCATGCCCATAATCCCAGGACTTTTGGAAGCCAAAGCCAGAGGATTCCTTAAGCCCAGGATTTCAAGAATATAGCCTGGACAACATAACAAGACCTCATCTGTACTAATAATAATTTAAAAAATGAACTTGGCGTGATGGTGTGCATGTATAGTGCTAGCTACTTGAGAGGCTGAGAAGGGAGGATTGCTTGAGCCTAGGAGATCGAGGCTGCAATGAGCCATGATTGTGCCAGGGCCACGGAGTAAGACCTCAACTCACAAAAATAAAATAACAAAAAGAAAGAAAGTTTATATAAACAGAGTGATCATGATGGTGTTTGTTTATTTAGTCCTAGCCAGGAGACGGGTCATGGTTTAATTTAATCCATACACAGATATATAGTATTCTTTGTGCAAATGAGGAGATGGAGACCCAGGGAGCTGAGCAACTTGCCTGGGCCACACAGCCAGGAAGTGAGGAAGTGGACACTGGACAAGGACTGCCCAACACCAGAACCCATCCACCTGGCACAGGCAGCCTTCTTAAATCGCCTCTTCACAGGGAAGCAGTGGGGAGGCATGGTTCTATCTTCTAGACCTTGGGGCTCATCTACCCTTCGAAATATCAAATAGCGTTCCCTCAAAAAATAGCTAACAGTACTAACAGGTGGCATTAATGAGACACCCAGGGCCTCATTCCTTACTAATAAGGCAGCCCCACACTCATCAACAGAAGAAACAGCCACCACCCCTGCATGGACAGACTTGAAGAATTTCACCTGGAACCCATGACCACATGCACTTCAACTTGCTGGGAAAATGCTGGGCGTATCCCTACATATCCTAGTACCTTGCTGCATGGAATTAGTCACAGGCTGAAATTTGAAAAAGAAAACATTCAGCTGACCTTGGGAGGAACTTCCAAATGCTGAGTCAAGGCAGAACAGGGAGCTTTCAGGGGTCAGCGAGTGTCCCGTCAGTGGCACTGAGTAGGCCAAGACTGACAAATGGCTCCATGTGGGAATGTCCTGGCCTGTGCTGCTCGAGGTGCCTGGGTCCGGTCTGCTCTCAGGTCTGCCATGCACATCACTGATGAACAGACATGCAGAGTTTGTAAGCTTTAATTTTCTTGAAATGTCTTCATGTGTGTATGGAATTTTTCCAGTTGAATTTAAAAATAGGCTTTGTAATTAGAGTTTGATTTCATGATCTCCATAATTAATACTTTATTAACCAAAGTCTAGGTCTGCAATAAATAAGAAATTAAAGCTGTCCCTTCATGTGGAGTTTAAGAAGCCCCGTGGACAATTGAGGCAACTGAAGAGGGGGCTTCCACCTCCTATAATTACTCTGAAGTCTAATATTCCATGAGGAACTGAGGCTGGGCAGGGAATCAGAGAATGACAGTGAGGGATGGAGAAGTTTCTGTAGCACCATTGACATGACAATGTGGCCGTCCTGTGTATCCCCCTTCTCTCAAATGATGTGTCACAGTGTAATGCCAGTGTATACAGAGGAAGCTCAGGGAGGCAATCTGGCTCGGCTGAGGGCACTCAGGTAGTCAGGGGCTCACATTCTCTCCAGACCCCTGGACTCAACACCCAGTTCAAGTCCTACCACTGCCTTATGGGTCCCAACCCATATTTCCAAAGCACAAAGGAAATCATGGTCAGAAGAAAATCAACAACTTTTATAATCATTCATATATTTTATAGAAAATAAATGCACAGGTATAAGTGACACAGCTGGCATTTGATTCCATGGGCTGATGGTAGCATCATACCTCCAAACACAGCCCTCTGTCACCCTGTCACGTGAAACATGAGGACACTAAAATCTGGCACAGAGCATAGTGGGAAGGCCAATGCTCTGGCAGTCACATCCTCTGTGTAGCTCGGTAACTTCCCTGGGCTTCAGTTTCCCTGCTGTCAAGTCAGGGGTGCCAGTGGGTAAACTAATCAAGGGCTCTTTCAGCTCTGAACTGTCATAAGCAGGGATTAATTAGCATCCAGGGACATCGCGACCTGCTCCTGTGACTGAAATGCGAAGAGGAGCAGAATCCAGACTGACCTTGAAAGAAACTTCCAAATAGTCGGAGTAAGGTGACAATAAAGAATTTGCAGGGACAGCAAAGTCCCACCCATGACCTAGGGCAGGACAAGACTGATGGTGTCTGTGGGGATGTCCAGGCCTGTGCTGCTGAAGGGGTGTGACCCCCACACTGGT